ATCAGTGGAGGCCCACTGCCAGAGCTCCCATCAAAAGACTGCAGAAGCCTCAACGCTAAAAGGCCCACGAAAGCCGAAGCCCTCGCAGCCCTCAGAAAAAAAACTGCTGACACGTCCAAGCCCGTTCGCTGATTGACGATGAAACCAAACCAGGTCAATCTGACAGTACCCACTTAAGCAAACCCAACTGCAACCCCCAAAAACTCAGCACTGGGGGGCCATTCAAGCCACCCTGACAGCCCTTCACGCGCACCCTCTGCGCTGAGTCCGGTCCTTCAGAAACACCTTGGCCTCTGCCTTCTGCTTCCAGGAATCTGCTTTCCGCTCACGCTCCTCCCTGGCAGCTCTTCGGGGGTGCTCAGTGTATATGGAAGCCTCACGAACTTTATATATTGTATATTACATATTATATATTGTACATGATACATTATATATTATATATCATATATTATATAATATACATTCTATATTAAGTGTTATATATTATATATTGTATTATATTATAGCCACCCGCCAACAATTCGCAGTGAAGTGACATCAGCCAGCATCCCTGGAGTCTGCAGCCGGCGGGCCCAAGCTTCTCGAGCTCGAGCCAGATTTCCTTTGAAGAAGCCTCTCAGACTGGAAGTTCCGTCACACAAGGCGAAAAGAAGGCAATCGATCAACGTCCCTTTGACTTGAGTTTGACTTGAGACGTTCATCGCATCCAGTTCTGCGAGGAGTAGGTAGGAGCAGGAGTAGGAGGAGCTGCAGCAGAAGTGCGAGCAGGAGGAGTGGAAGGAGTAACTAGCCGTAGGGGCGACAATAAAATCAAACAGTATCAAGCGGCGAGCTAAACAAAATCATACAGTTGATGATAACAGCTGGCTTCTGTGTGTAGCAGCAAGGAAAGTTGCGACCTTGGCGCTCGTAATCACAACATCAAGGGGTCATAGGCAGAATCAGGCATGGGCTGGTCACAAGGAGCATCATGGTCTCAAAACCCGTAAAACCCTACTGCTCATTCGCAGTGTATCGTCATCCTAGCAGACAGAACCAGCACGGCCATACTAGCATCATGTCATTGGCTATCCTAAGCCCGAAACCCGCAGTTCATAGCTACCTCGTAGAAGCCGTAGCCCTGAATAACAGTCAAACAAGGATGCGAAAAAACTCTTATTACTATGTTGTACTATACCATACTATACTACACTATACTAAACTTTACTATACAAGACAACGTAGACTAGACTATACTATACGATACTAAACCATGCGGTGCTGTACTATAACTTAGTATATACGAGCTGGTTTCACGATATTCTATGGTATTCTGCCATATTGGATTTGCTAAACTTTTGCAGCTATATTGTCTGTTACTTTGCCTTATTATGTCTTGTTGTGCTGTAATATATTGTGTCTTGCTATGGCATAATACATTTTATGATATGTTACAGTATATACGTAATACCATATTTTCTCAACTTCTCATATAGTGTATTGTGCTATATTGTGTTATATTTGAATATAGCATATTCCATTATGCTATGGTGTATTCGAAAGCACTGTTTCTCTTGCATGTTTATGATACTCTTTTCCACTCTATTCCGTTGCATAATATCATAATATATCATACGATACTATACTATATTCGACTACCGGCATATTGCATTGTCTTATATTATGTCATGTTCTAATACTATGTATGTATACCCTCTCTCTCTCTCTATTCTATTGTGATGTATGGTACTGTACCGTACCTCTGATATTCTCGTGTGTTCTGTTCCGTTATGCGTTGTTATGCTATATCTTTATGATATATGTGTATATATATATACATACATACAAATAAAAATGTATAGTGCATATGTCTGTAATATACCGCTTTAGTCTCACTGTATTTTATGAATCGCCGGGCTCTGTGCCTCAGGATGCTTCTTCATGAACTCCGAAATTGCCTCCCTCTCAGCGGGAGTCAATGGCCTAGGGACAACATCCTACTGGAACGTGCTAGGTTTAGGGTTTAGGGTTTAGTATGAATGACAAGCGATGTTAATGATGGCGAATGCCGCTCGATCTCGATGTTGGGTGAAGGTCCCGGGGGTGCCACGAAGCCTTTACACCATGTATCGCTGCGAAATCAGGAATAAAGCCTAGACATGCCTTGCCACTGTCACAAGACTATCAGCTTACATGGGGGAGAGCTAGATAGCCAGATAGATGAGATCAGGCTAAGCTGTATTCGTGTGGTTAGCTCCGAACAGATCCGACTAGACAGATCACGTTGCATGTAGAGATCTCACTGCTGCATGGACTCTAGGTTAGACTCAAGCGTGCAGCACAATCTGAACAATCAGACACTTCGGTTAGGCTCCCCTGGGCTCCGAGCTCGAGGATGTTGGACAAATGAGGGCCGGAGCGAAGAATGTCCTGTCAAGCTTGAACAAGCGATGCTTAGGGAAAACTGGGAGCTGCCCTTCTTGCTAGCACAGTCTCATGCCTGCGAACCAACGTCAGGGTGTTCAGGGAAGGACTAAGACCAGGAGAGAGTTTGAGGTGTAGAACAAATCTTCTCGGCTTCAAGTCTCGGATGCAATGATTTACAAGTGGAGTAGCGAGAGTGGCCTGCAGCAGCAGCCGGAGTAGCAGCAGCAGTAGCAGGAGGAGCAGCAGCAGCAGCAGCGGCGGGAGCAGGACAAGCAGCAGTAGTAGTAGTAGCAGCAGTAGTAGTGGTAGTAGCAGCAGCAGCAGTAGCAGTAGTAGTAGTGGCAGTAACAGCACTAGCAGTAGCAGTGGCAGTCGCAGTAGCAATTAATAGCAGTAGCCGTAACAGTGGCAGTCGCAGCAGCAGCAGCAGCAGTAGTAGAAGTAGTCGTAGTAGCAGCAGCAGCAGCAGTAGCAATAATAGAAGTAGCAGCAGCAGCAGCAGCAGCAGTAGTAGTTCTCGTCGTCGTCGTCCTAGTAGATGCAAGACGTCCTGGCTGTTCAGGATGCAGTTTTTGTCGTCTTTGAACCACCTCTTGCAGATGGTGTGGGCCTGCATTGCGCGACGGTACTCTCAAAAACATACGCGTGTCTATGCTGCGCCATCTCTCTCTCTCTCTCTCTCTTTCTTTCGCCGGGGCTGTGGGCCAGGAGGAAGCCCCCCTAGCCCGCGCGCTGTCGCGCCCCCGACCGTTTTGGAGGGGCGGGAGTGACACAACCTCACTACAAAGGCAACTTGTCGAGTTGAACAGCAGCATCCAAAACAAAGGGCATAATAGGACACACAGCCACGCTCCCAACACTATTAAGGGAAAAAGGGAAATCAGATGTCGCAGTTGCCTTAGTGGGACTTCGCCTGCTTTCATGGCCAGCTTCTGAAATCAAAGCAACAAGCGAGAACGTCAAGGGATCTACCGAATCATGGGACTCTCTCTCTCTCTCTCTCTCTCTCTCTCTCCCTCCCTCCCACTCTGCATAGTACACTATGCTCGAGTCATTGTCAATGTGCCACGATTCTGTCCCTGATACTCTGGTGCATTGCAGAATGTCGCTTGGTTCCGGGCAAGGAATCGTGACAAGAATGCGCAGCCGATGTCTCTATTCAAGTCCTATGAACAAGCAAAGCATCGTTTGCGGAAGCTGCTATCTGATTTCCGCCTCTCATTAAAGGCTGGCATTCTCGAATTCCACGCTATCTACACTGTTCACAGACGAAGCTTGCCTTTTCTGCAACATCCTGTTCATGCCACAGGCACTTGTTTACCTGCTATGTTGCATCTTGCCAGAGCCTCAACCTTAAGCCCTATAGCCTTTCCCTCTGCTGTGGCCTCGGCTACAGCCGGGTGAAGCTCCTGAGAGACAGGTGCAGCTGCATGAGAACTTTGGGGACTCCGCGTTAACAATTTGATGGTGAGTGCAAACTCTCGTTCAGTGAACCCCGAACTATTCCTGCAAGCCAACTGTTGAGGACAAACGTCCCAAGCTGTTTTCCCAGCCTTCTTAATTCCGATAACGGCACGTGCCGGGAATGCCTTGTTCCCTTCAGGATCTGCCACTGTGCATGATCAGAGTAAGCTTTTTTCACCATGCTCCTGTGTTTACCGGAACTTTTGTGCTCTGCCCTCGTTGCCCCCAACAACCGTGGTCTTGTGAACATAGCTTGTATGCATGAGTGGTACAGATTGCATTGCTATAGTACTGCTGAACTTGATGACTACGACGACCACCACCGCTGCGTGTCCTAGTCCTCTGTATAAGCTACCCCTAGCTTTCTGAGGCCCAATACCCAGTGGTGGTCGCATCTGGCCCTAAACGCTCTCTCGCTCTTTCTTTCGCCAGGGCTAGGGGCAAGGGGGAGACCCCCTTACCTCACTCTCTCTCCCTCTCCCTCCCTCAATCACTCCCTACAGAAACTTGTATACGTCCCTCTCTTTCTCGTTTCCCCCCCTTTAAATTTTGAATCAAAGCCTAAACCCTAATCCTCGAAACCGAATCACTAAGCTCTCTCTCTTCCTTTCTTCATATCGGCCTAGACCCTCAGGCAATCTCTCTTTGTCTCCTCGAGGCCACCAATGAATTTGAGGTCTGCACCTGAAGCGGCAGAATGGGGGACCAGGTGCTTCACTTGGGAGTTTCGTATGACATCCGGTGTAAGGATCAAGGGCCTGGGGGTCCAAGGATCTCTAGAAAAGCTACCCTAAGCCTAAGAAACCCCTCTACATTATGCCAAGATGCCCCAGTCAGCGCCTAACTCAGCACAGATTGGCCTTGCATGGTCACTCTTTCACTCCAGGGGCGTTTTGGGCAGGCTGTGCAACAAAGCTGGGAACAGAGCCAGGCAAGGAGCGCAAAGGCAAAGGAAAAAGACACAAATTGATTGCAAAAGGCCAGGAAAGACATGAGGATTCCGACAGCAAGGTCAGAAAAATGCAATCTATTGATGGAAACCGAACCAAGTGGTCGATCTCCGGTTTGGAGTCTCTACTCCAGCGGCTCGAACACATCTCAATGCGCTTGCGACACCAACAACCAAGAGCCCAGCGACACTTGCCGGCCCCTGGTGCAACCATGGTCATGTACCTGAGAACTGCAGACGGCCCAGGCGAGTTTCAGCCATGTCCTCCGCTGCAGCTGTACTACATTTCTCCAGCCGGGACAGATGTTGGAGGGGTTTCAGGAACTGTTGCCTGAAGAAGTGAAATCCCGGGCTACACCACAGGAAAAGCCCTACGTCGACCGACCCCCATCTGCCCACCATCTCCGTAAGTGCGGAGCTCTGCTAAGGCGCAGCGCTGCTCGTTGTTCAATCGCCGGGCCGCCGTGTCGCAAACCCAGCAGTGAACTCCTGGCAACTTGGGACACATCGGCTCTGTTGGTGAACATAAACGTATATTGATGTGTTTAGCACACGTTGATGCAGCACTCTGACACACAGACATGCATGCGTACATGCATACATGCACGCATACAGCATGCAGTTCATCAAACTTGCAGGCGTGTGCATGCGTGCATATCCAAGCGCACGCACATGCATACACTGCATAAGCATAACTACAAGTGTAATTGTACAGTGTGTACTTGCGGACACGTACATGTGTCATGTTTAGGTTCGCATCGTCCGCAGTTTCGTTGCAGGAAAGCTGCGTACCGAAGAGCACTTTAATGTCATTCTCCCTTGGAGGCCGTCTTCGGGGGAGGATATCCAGGATAAGTAGTGGGTACTTGGATCACGGCGGGTGGACGGTGTCATGGTGCATGTTTTGTGGCGTTGAAAGGCTTCTCCCTGCGTTTTCGATATATATATATATCTATCTATCTATCTATCTGTGTGTGTGTGTGTCTGTGTGTCTCTGTGAGTGTGTGCGTGCATCTGTGTGTGTGTGTGTGTTATGTTGGGGTGGGGTGGGTGGAGTGGGGATGACATGCACACAGGCTAAATAAAGTTAGGTAATTCCAGCATGCCTGGCCTTGCATTTGCAGCACGTCGCTTCGTATCGTCGTTTTCGAGCATGGCTGTGCAACGGATGGGATCAGGTAGTTTGTGCAACACAAGCCCCGGCGCATTGAGAACTTTAGCTGGGCGAAGGGCCTAAGCTTGAGGGAACTCCAACACAAGCAAAGAGGTCGAACCTCCTACCTTTCCGTACTCTTCCAAACAGACGCATCGCACTTTCGGCCAAGAGGTCCTGAGCTCTCCCTCCCTCTTCCATGTAAACCAGTTTTGTCAAGTTTATACTTTGTCGTGCTGCCAGCGGGATGCTGTGCCCGTGACGGCATCCACGCAGTTGAATTGTCTAATATCTGCTCCGCAGGGAGTCGTTGAGCCGTCTCAGTTTTGCCACCTCTCGCTTCCTGTGGCGCGGATCCTTGGGCTTTGCGGTCATGGAGAAGATCTGCTCCACCGGCATATTCTCCTTCTCATCTCTTTTTCTGGGCTTCTCTTTGCTCATGCCGCGCCTGAACACAATCTTCTTGCGTCTGCGCTCAAATTCCCATCCATTCTGCCGTAACACGTACTCGAGCTTGCGCTCCCTCCGCCTCAGCTTCAGTGGAAGCTCTTCAGGCGGAGGAAGCTCTTCGGGCAGAGGAAGCTCTGGAAGCATTGCTGCTGCTTGTTCAACCGGCAAGTCGTCCGACTCGCTATCGGAATCTGAATCCACCGGCAGACCTTGCAGCATCAAGTTTCCTGTCTGCCAGATTGCATCATCCACTTCTTGCTGAATATCCACAGAAAGCTGCTGAATGGCTTCATTCAAGTCCAAGATGCTGGTTGAATCTTGAACTGACAGGCTCAAGAAGGCTTCAGCTTCCTCAAGGCTTCCTGGCAAGACTTGCTCTTGCCCATCCTGGGCAACTTCCGTCCAAAGCAACGCTCGTAAGAACGACTCGCCTTCACGTGCCGAGATGTGACCGCGGGCCACGTGGGCTTTCAGGTGCTGTTCAGCTATACGAAATCGCCATGTTTTCAGCTGGGCACGCAACTGCTGCTCCATTGCCGACAGGTTCCGAAAGATGAGCATAGGCCAGCCCAGGATCTGTGCCAGTTTGCAATAGCTGATCTGGAGAAAATGGAAAGGCAACTGCTGCCACACTGTCGTCCACATGAGGTGTGCTGTCATTGCACTGCTGATCGCCAACGTAGCCATCCAGGAGCTCACTGCCAGCCACGTGGCCGCCCCGGCCACCAAGCACAAGCAAGCTGAAGCAGCAGCCTTGTGGCCACTGATGTAAGAATTTAGCATCGGCACGCGATCGCTGGCGGTGTTGAGCCAAAGGACAGACTGAACACCTGTAGCTCCCGCTGCAGCAACCGGAAATGCAAACATCATTCGCGACACCACTAGCAGGAGCACAGATGCAAATGCCATGGCTACACAGCCAAGAAGAGCGGACCACCACTGGGGTGCACACTCCAGCTCGAACCGCTGTGACTCGCGAAGTTCTTGAAGGCTGCGTAACGACTCTCTGAGCATCACTGGCATATCGTAGAAGGACAAATAGCCGTCGTGGGCAGCATTGAATGTACTTTGACACACCTGCCTCGCCAAGTCCTGTGGGTGCGACAATCTGCCTTCAAGCTTTGTGGTCGCTGCAGTGGCTTTGATTTCCAACATTTTGGTTGCGTAAAGCTGAGTTCGCAAATACTCTATGAGGACATCTACAAAATTCTTGATCTCTTGCCTGGACGCCGGAGCCACGAACTCCAGGTTTTGCAGGATGTTTTTGCGGAGCTGGCCTGAATGAAGCATCAGCAGATCAAGCTTCCGAGAGAACATGAGCGTTGACATGAGATCTGGCGAAATATGACCTGAGATAGCAGAACACCACTCCAGAGTACAGCCTTTCAGCCCGCATGTCAGGTGGGCATCCAAGCGTCTTCGAACTTCCATAGCCGAACGCTTCAGCAGGATATGTGCTGCAACTTCCATGCGCTGTTTTAGCTGAGCCGATGAGACACGCTTAATTTGACAGTCCACGAAGTTGCCTCCGATCATGTCGAATCCAGCATCCGTCGAGCCCTTGCTCTTGGACCAGACCCTCGGGAACTCAAAATTGAAGGCGTAGAAAGGTGTCTGAGCTGTGTCCAGCCTGTAACCGGTCAAGTTTGAGTGGAACTGCAGCCGATTGCTCTCCTCGACTTTCAGAAATCCTCCAGATCCACAAAGGAAGCCCAGTTTATGAAAGCAACTGATCAGCTCTTTGTTTCTCGAAGGTAACTTGCACAAAGAAGGGTGTTCTGCAAAGCATAGCTTTAGCAGTTCCACCTCTGTCTCGGGGCCCAAACACGGGTAGAGCCCTTTCCCCTGGGCTAATTCCGTGAGCCACTTCCGGATGATGGGTTCCGAGTGGGCAATGCTTGTGATCGTCAGGCCGAAGCATAAGTTGTCCTTCCAGGGCCAGTGCTCCAAAAGCGACGCATCCCCAAAAAGTAAAACCACTGCAGCCTGAACGAAATGGGGAGGTTCCACCTCGCCCAGCAAAGGCAGAGTGGAAAATCGGCACTGCCCCTTCTGTTCATCCACAATTCGCTGGCATAGCTCCGAAAGCCTCTTTCCAAACATGTTGGAATAGTGCTGCATGAAAGGCAAGAAAGCTTCCTTCTTGCCTCCCAGGCTTGCTTGGGTACGTTGGGCCTGTCGGGCTTGTTCCACCTTCAGCTCCTCCAGCTCATCCTGCAGTTTTTTCCTTCGGCGCCGGCGGTCGTAGTCCAACGCGACTCCGGCTAGCAAGGTGCTTGCCACTAGAGTCCCAGCCACTGCAGCTGACGTGCTGGACATGTTCACAACAGCGCCAAGTGCGGGTTAAAGCTGCATCTAACATGCGCGTGAACCATGAACATTTAATGGCTGCACCAAGCAATTCCAAAGCTCGCCTGGTAAAAGTAAACTGCCCTAAACCTTAAAGCCCTAAACCCCTAAATCCCTAAATCCTGAACCCCTAAACGGCCCCTAAACCCTAAACCCCTAAACCCCTAAACCCTAAACCCTAAACCCCTAAAGGCGACTCGCTCGCATCGTTTTGCCTCGCCGGCCGGAGTACACGAAGAGTAGATGCTCGAAGCCGAAATCCTCCCAAGAGAGGAGAAGATGTTTCGGAGGGTAGCAACACAAGTACCTATAGGGTTTAGGGTTTAGGGTGACGATTCATAAGAATAGAGTAAAGATCGCCTGGCGATGCTGATAGTGCGCGGTGAAAGCTGATGCTCATGATGCTCGGCGGCTGTTGGAGCGGAGCAACTGGCGCCGCTGATGCTCCTGCTGCTGGTGGGCGCCTGTTGGAACGCGGCAACAAGGCGCAGCTCATGTTCATGATGTTCATCGATGGGTGTTGGGCTGGACTGGAAGAAACTTGCGCAAGACTATGCTCATGCTGCTCGTTGGTGCACACACTGGCACATCTGATGCTCGTCGGTGGTTGTTAGATTTGAACGAACTGGCGCAGCACTCTCGTGATGCTTGCAGGTGGCTGTGGGGTTTGGAATCGACTGGTGCAGCTGATGCTCATGATGCGCGGCAGTTGCTGCTGAGAGTCACAGGTACATCAATGTTCGGCTATGACTGGTAAGGCATAGCGTAGCTGCTTCTGATGCTCGGTGAGATTGCGGCAAACTGTGGCAGCTTATGCTCATGATTCTGCGGTGGCTGTTGGATTTGGATGATGCATGGCTGTTGGATGGTGGCCGGTGTTTGAATGGGGATCCAACACCTGGCTTATGCCCCATGGTCGTGAACCTCAACCACTAAACCATGCCAAACAATTCTCAATTCTCCTCGCGCAGCGATCGGCGAAGAATCTCGATGGCTGCCTGCAGTGTAGCAAGCACGCCATGTTGTAGGCACGTCCCTTGTGCAACTAATCCGTTGCAGTCTCCATCAGCAAGACCGGTCGTTGGATCATACCTCCGACTGCCGGGAGAGCACAACACCAAATGCCCGAAGCTCCGTGTCTGCCGACCAGACATGTGTTCATGTCGTGGCTGTTGCGATCTGTGCATTTCCACACCCCTCTGCCCGTGGATGTTGGGTTTGTCGGCACGCTGGATGCATCTGAGAAAGAGTCGCCATGTCATTGCATCCTGGATGATCATGCACGGCATATGGCCGTAAGAGTAGACTGACCACACGATCATATTACTCGCACCTGTGCAGAAGGACCATAACCCCTACTCGCCATCACCCTAACCAACAACGGCTTGCGATCTCGATCCCCCTATCATCATCATACAAGCACCTCCATCATTTCATGTGGATTGAACTGTTGCTCAGAAAACACTCGAAAGCCAACGCGGGCCTTCATGAAGGTCCAGCACTTCAGGCCTTTGTCGTAGCGGCTTGGGGCACGATACTTCAGATCTTAGGATCTTAGGGATCTTTTTGTATTTGGGATCAAGGCATGTTTTGGAATTGAGATTCGGAGCATTGAACAAGGTCCATTGAAAAGGATCATCGCGAAGTTCAACCATGGTACTCATGCGAACAGCATAGGAGGCGCATGTATGCTCGAAATCTTTACGTCACCAGGCTAGAGCCTCTCAAAACGGTTTTCGAAAACACTTGGAGTTCGACATAGCTTGGCACCGGTGCAACAGCTTCGGATGTCATCGTAATCGTCCATGTCCTTGGGATGTTGGTGCGATGCGTCTTGAAGCTCAGGGTCTGCAGAAGTAAGGTTTCAGTCACGCCATCAGCGAGGTACTGCTAAAGAAAAATACTGCTACGGATTTCCACGATACTGCTACTACTACTACTACGACGACGACTGCTACTACTACCACAGCGACTGCTGGTGCTGCTGCTGCGGCTACTACTACTTACTACCACCACCACCACCACCACCACCACCACGACCACCACCACCACCACCACCACCACCACCACCACCACCACTACAACACTACCACTACTGCTACTACTGCTACTACTGCTACTACTGCTATACTACTACTACTACTACTACTACTATTACTACTACTACTATTACTACTACGACTACTACTACTACTACTACTTCTACATGCAACTCCGCATGCCGGAAACAGCTACCCNNTACTACTACTACTACTTCTTGTTGTGCAACGACGACGACGACGACGAAAACAGCTACTGCCGGTGCCGCCGCTTGCTGCCAGTGCTACTGTTGCTGCTATTTGTCTCATGACACTACGGCCACACGACCGCTGCACCTACTACGTCACTACGCCGACTACCACGACTACTACTGCTTTGTACTCGGGACTGGGTTCTACCTCCTGCTAAGAAGAAGACATTGCTGTATGTTGCTGAAGCAGTTCCAGCCACCCTCGCCCACGAGCCACCGCCAGCTCTGATCGAAAAGACTGAGAGCCTCGATTTCGAAAGCCTCAAGCCCGGAAGAGAATTGACAAACTTGCGAAGACAGAATTTGCTTCTCACACCCAGGATTCCAACCCGACCACGGAACTGCAACAAACCGCTGGGTTCGAGGCGATGTCGAAAACCAACTCCCTCTCGAGTGGCTTGTAGGCATCCTGGCGGTAGAGATCTAGGCTTAGGGCCTCCGGCAAGGATGTAGGGGTCATTGGAAGCATCTCAGCGCATGTTCGGACCGAAGCCACGCTTTTCGCCGACAATGATGGTGCAATTACACAAATACCTTGACAGCAGTAAGCTGATTGAAAACCCTGCGACTGCCAGCTCTGCGTCAAACTCATAACCTAGACCCCTCTCCCAGGTGGATTGCTGTTAAACGTCCAAGCCTTCATAACCAGCTTGTGCTTGCTCGGCAGATGGGTGTACACAGCGCCGATCTCCATTCTGATCTCAGTACATCTACACGAAGACGGGTCATGTGCTGATGTCAGTGGCTCCTAAAGACAGTGGGCGAGCTATAGCTGTGGCTATGGAGATGACAGTCACGAAGCGGCTGCATAGTGCATGTCTGTTGATCTCTTGCGAGGCTTTGTTTGTTGCTACACGTCTTTGTTTTCTCCAAGCGTAGCTTCCCACGAACCGAACTGCCTCCGCCTGCATGAAGGTCGAAGCTGAGATCCACACCGGCTGTCGCTCCAAAATGCGACTTCGGTACTCCTGCCAAGGTAGGTCTTGATCCTGAGGTGTCTGCTCTGCATTGATGCATGTTCTGCAGCCTCAAAAGCGATGACGTGCTTCTAGTTTATGCATTGTACGAATCTGCGCACGTTCGGCCAAACGGCGCCTCTGCGTCGCGAAAGCAGGTGTATCGACAGTGGATCTCATTGCCGGCATCCCCCTGCAGAAATCGATGTGCACAGTTGCGGGAATGCCGGGCACAGGAATTTCTCAAGAATTGCCAAGCGACAAGGAAGCACCGCCGTGTGACAGGAAGACAGCGAGGTATACGTCTCACGGTATCCCGAACTACAAAGTAGTTCCGAACTTTGAACCTGAAACCACATTGTGAGGCTTGACAATGCTCTGCTCCCGATGATCCTGTGTTAAGCACAGTACCTGCAGCACGAGATCAAACTCTCGGCGGTGGAAGAAGTCCTTCTGCGCCTGAAAACAATGACTATCATAGACACCATAACTACAAAGACGGCGATGACGCCTGGTGTCTGGTGCTGCTGCTGCTGCTGCTTTTATTGCTTTAGCTGTGACAATAACTGGACTGTAGCACTGGCTTGTTCCGGCACTGCCACCGCCACCACCACCACCACCACCACCACCACCACCACTGCTACTACTGCTACCACTGCTACTACTGCTACTACTGCTACTACTGCTATACTACTACTACTACTACTACTGCTACTACTACTACTACTACTACTACCACTACTACCACTACTACCACTACTACCACCACCAGCAACTGCTGCCGGTGGTACTAGAGTAACCACGGTAGCAGTACCAGAACAAGTGCGCCCAAAAGGTAGAAAGGGCATTCGTTTTGGCTCTGCACTTCGGTGCCGAACAAGCGGAAGCAAACCTGTGCGCACCGTGCTTTTGATACCGTTAGACCCAGCACCCCCACAAAGGATCATCCCCGTCCTCGTCATGGCCGTCATCAGCCGCATAGTCAGCATGCGAGTCATCAGTGTCGTCGTCACCCTCCTCCTATTGCATCATCATCACCAGCAGCAGCTGTGTCACCATCCTGGTCGTCAAAGCGCACGGGACCATCATCGACATCATCATCATCATCATCACCATCATCATCATCATCACCATCATCATCACCATCAGCGTCATCATTCCACACTAGCGCCAGCATCAACACAATCATGGACGACCATAGTCATCATGCCAGCCATGGGAGGAGTGATGACCGCTTCTTCTTGACACGCGGTCTCATTGTCCTACAGTTCTAGGCTTCAAACATCTCTGCAAATCCCCAACCCCCCAATTTTGGTCTCCTGAACTCCACATCGAAGCAAGAGTCTTCGATACATCGAGGCCCATGCTCCCGTGCTGGGACTCTTGGGATCGTTGCGGTAGCTGAGCCACCTCCAAGTCCGCAGCTTCGGGGTGAGTTGAGTGGCGTCCTTCAGGTTTCGCACGGAACTTCATCCCGATGAAGCCGTATATCTTGGGAAGTGCGCGGAGTGGGTATTCCCGGTCCTGCTTGGGTCGTTCTGTTGCTTGCACTGTTTCTTCTCAGAGTGAAAAGAAATCTTAACCTGTCCTTCCCAGACAGAGAACCGCCTCATCAATGCACACTTAAGGCTTTTGCTCGAAGTCTGGGCTCGGTGCTTTCTCCGCTGCCGTTCCCTTTGAACAATCGATTACGTCTGGAGAGTGCATGTGCTGCTGCTGACTACAGTGCCGTTCCAGCTTCTGCAGACTAAGGCCCCGCTTCTACACCAACACCCCTCCGCGACTTTGCTTAGGCAGATACCTGCTGTGCTCGAATGGCTTGCGGGGAGCTACCGTGCCGTGATCGACAGTCTCCGAAACAACGATGATGAACCACGTTGCCCCAAGCATATCTCGTGCCCTCTGTGCCTGAACATCGGGACGAAGGGGAAGAATTTGTCCTTGATTGTGACGTGTTATCAGCGGACTTGCAGTAGCGGCATTTCGTGTTTCCGAACCACCTCAGGCCCCAGCATAGTAGATCTTCAGGAGCTCCCTGTTGAAGTCCTGCGGCAGCTAGGTAAACTTTGAGTTAATTGCAAGCTTCATTATCATGAACGCTCGCACACAATGCCCTCTTCCTCCTCCTCCTCGTCGTTTTTTCCTGTGTTATTGTTCTTCTCGTCACAAGTCTTTGCTGCTTTTCGCTCTTGTCGGTAGAGTCTGCCTGTTGCAACCTTCATGGTCATGCTGAATCTCACGGCGCTAGTTGTCCGCGATCATGGTGATGATGACGACGATGATGATGACCATCTTCATCTGCTTCTTCGTCACCACCATCATCATCACCACCATAACCACCATCACCACCATCCCCATCATCATCATCATCAGCATCATCAGCATCATCAGCATCATCAGCATCATCAGCATCATCATCATCATCACCGTCATCACCAACATCACCATCGTCATCATCATCACGATCATCATCCTAATCATCATCTTTTCTTCATTGTCTTCATCTGCATCATTGGCATTTTTGCGATTGCCATTGCTTCCTATACTGCTGGCCTGATCGCACTCATTCAGTTTTTGTACACGGATTAATCTTGTAGTATTTCCAATACTGACGATGTAGCCACTCATTGCTAAATGACCGGCCCGGCAAAAGTAGCCGCTCTTGAGGCACTCTCTCCCATTCTTGCTCATTCCCTGAGGTGTTTTCATCGCATGTGCGCAGGCCCCACCAACAACGCCCAAGCGGCAAGTATGGCTCTGCTATTGCCGGCGTCCTCATTCTTCAGGAGTGCCTCCCCCTGCTGATCGACCTGGTTTCCAGCCGGTTCCATTGATCGTTGGTGGGCGAGCGGAGAAAAAACAGGCGTGCTACAATGGCAAAACAACGCCGTGGAATTGTGGCGAAATGTATGTTGGCTTGAATGCAGTTGTTGCTGAATTAAGAGCATCACGCCCCATGTACAGCAACGAAACTGCAAAGCATACAGGTTATTGCAAGCATGCAGCAGACCTCTGCAGGTCTTCGACCATTATGCGCTCTGAGTGCGCTTTCACATTTTCTCAGGTGAGTCTAAACCCAGCTCGGACATTGCAATGGCCGCCCTGCATAAACGAAAAGCAACAATTCCAGTATGCCACGATGTTTGTTCATGCATCTCAAGTGCCTCCCTTCCGACATTGCATTTTCGAGCGGGAACTCGAAGCACGGAGACCGCAAAGGTGCCACCGACCCGTTTCCTGTGTGCCATGTGGCAGCACTATTCGTCTGAATGTGAGTAGTTCTCTAAATTAGGGTTCCTTTTAGGGTCCTTTTCAGAAGGGTGCCGTACTATGATGGGGACCTAAAGCGTGACCCGAATTTGGAGAACTACCCATGTGCCTGCCTTCGGAATTGGATGGCAGCCGAACACTGATGACTGTGTACGGTCGTCGCGGCGGCTGCTGCAGCGGGCACCCCCACAGTTTATATTGTGTGTGTGCACAGTAATAAACCTCGACCATCAAAAAGCCAGGAAGCGTTGAGGAACATGTTTGCATTAGGCCTTCCACGTGCGCTGCTCCAGTTTGTGACGGAGAGAGAGAGAGGGCGAGAGAGAGAGAGACAGAGAGAGAGAGAGAGAGAGTGAGAGTGTATTCTTTGTTAAATGTGGTGCTCGACTGCACCATGCAGCGGTGCAGCATCTTGCCTGCACCATAATCTTAGGATCTGCGTTCTGCGAAAGCTTGGTGCATGTCCAGGAGGCCTATGTCATGTAGGAGAAGCATCCAAACAAGAAGCTGATGTACGAAAGGAACATCGCACCTATGCTGTGAGAGCTGCGGCATCCCTTTCCGTGCCTCCATGGGCACGGCGACCAGAGGCTTCTTTGCATCGGTGCCCGACTGCGCAGCAACTCGTCGAGAGAGTTCGGTGAGAGGATCCAGGTCCGGCTCCCTGGACCCTAAACCGTTAAACCTTTCAACCCTAAAGCCTAAACCTTTAAACCTTAAACCCTGAACCGAACCCGAAGCCCCAAGGCCCTGAAACCCTGCTCCTCGATGGGGCTTGGCTTGATGGTCATTAAGACGGGCCTCGGCTGCTTCCTCCAGCTTTCTCTTCGGGGCATCCTGCAGAGGGGAAGCCATGGAATGAAGGGCTGGGATCTGGGACTCAATCCTGGGGGGGCGAGTACCCGAGCCCCAAAAAGGCTAACCTTTGAACGTATAGTAGGGTTTTAGAAGCCCCAAAAGGTTAAAGGTTACCTACTCAGCCCCTAAGTGTTTGGGGGTTGTGGGTTTAGGATGCAAAACATGTAGGGTTCAGGGTGATGCATGCCCCGAAGCATCATGATCATCATCGGCTTGGTGCTCAGGGTTTTGGGGGTTTCAGAGCATGATCATCCCTGTCACTAGAGTAGAATACTAGTAAGAATAAATGTCATGGAGGACGACCTGGTCCTATGCAGCAGTAAAGAGTCACGATGCTGCTGCTTGATTCGACGTGAAGGTCTCGGAATGCCTAAGGTGTCGAAGGAGTGATGCAGCACACAGGGCAAAGCTGGTCTACATTGCAGTAGGGCCTCTTGCGACTCCTGCCTTCTATATCAACAGTTCGTTTTGCAACATCAGTATGCCTCAACAGAGCCTCACAAGTGCCATTCTCATTCAACCACGGCAGAAGTACAGTGAAAGAAGCTTCGGCGCTTTCCACGGGGGAAACTTGGCGAGACTTTGGTGAAAGCGCCCAAGGCCATGCACCCGCGGAAGTATGTCGCCACTCGAGCCCGAGGCTTCAGCCCTGTGGGTCCTGCATGGCTCGAGTTCACCCACTCCCCTGCGGACGCTCTGACAGCCGAACAGCTGCGGCAGACTTCAGCGAATCGGGGGTATAACGCACTCCTCAGGACAGGAAACAATGGCTCAGGGCCAGAACAATCCCGGAACCGACGCGGGTACTGCCTCAGCTGAAGCATGTCAGCCCCGATTGCTTGGTAAGACCCGCGCCGTTTCGTCATGCATGTCCCAGAACTCAAGATTGTTCTTAGGCTGTACAAGTCCAAACGAGAGTGCCAGATGACATGCAGCCTTGGCCATCAGATGTGTGACTGACACTTTGTATAAAATGAAGAGCGCACAATGGCACCATGGTGTTTTCAAGGACGCATGGCCCTTAATTAACCTGAAACCCTCAACCCTAGACTGTGCTGTCGCTTGGCCTTTGGGACCCTACTTGTAGCTGAACGGAGAGCAGAACAGCTTTTCTCCGGCTGGATGGCCGCCATCTGTTCGACTGCGCAGCCCTGGCGCAAGCAACGAGACGTAGAGGGGCGGGAAGTTGCAAGGTCGAGCGAAGCTACATTCGAACCTATGATGCGGACGTATCTGAAAAGACCTTCTGTCAAGCCGGATCATCCCTGATCCTGATGCGAAGATGTGCAGGTGATCTTACGCGGCTCCTGGGTCGAGAACTGCAAAGGCCCGACACCCCCTCAAGGGACTGCAAGTGAGCATATCCACGGTCTTGACAGAAAGGCCCCTCAACCTTCGAGGATTTGGGCGGGCTTGGCCTGCCAGGAGCTCAAGCGGCCTGGCTGCGTGCTTATCCAAAACTAGGTCATCAACACCACAACCAGCTTAAACAACACTAGCCGCTAACCTGACGTCTTATATGAACGAAGCTATGCCAGCTATGATGTTCGGCATCCAGCTTCAAATCATCACGCGACCTGGAGAACGACAGCACCGCATTGTCACCACTCTTGCTGGAAAAATCCGCCAAACCACTCTGCCTCACCTGAGCTTTGGATGTCGTACAGACACAAGCTACAGGAAATTGATCCCCTTCGCGAAACCCTTCCGCAACACTTCTCCAGGGTGAATTCTGCAGAACCCTTCCGGAGCATGCTTTCGCTCCGTTGCCGAGTTTTCCTTCCACGCATCAGATCCTGAACTTTACTGCGAAGCTCCCGAACCTCGTGACCCTGAGCTCTGTCTTGCCTCCTGGTTTGGCGGCGGCGCTCCTGACGTCGGATGCTTTAAAGCCACTTTTTGGTGGTGCCATGCTCAGAGGTTCAGACCTCAGAGGCTGCTTCGGGTTTTCCATGACTTAAAACACAAGTCATCGGCTCGTGAGGGAGCTGGCTCGGCTGGCCTGTGCACCTCCTCCTTGATGGTTGGATTCGGATTGTCGTCAAGCCGGAACCGGTTCGCCATCAGCACTGCTGCTGCTGCTGACAAATACCGCTGCTTGGCCCTCGCTTCTACTCCTCCTACTTCTCGTGCGCCACTGGTGCAGCTGGGGCCACAGTTCATACGAAGTTTTTTAAGTTTTACGGGTCAACGCAGCATGGGTTCTGGTCTAGGCTTCCTTATGCCAAAGGATCCTAATCTCCACCTGCTTCAAACTCACATCTTTAAACTACAACCCTAATCCCCTAAACCCTTAAAGCCCTAAATAGTCTCATCACCAACACCAGCTGGATATCCTTCTGGCACGGAATCCTCGGTGAGATCCGGGCCTGGGGCTTTGGAACAAACCAAGATCCAAAGGTTGGCTTCGGGCAATCTTTTGCTGTGGTGGTGCTGGTCTGGTGCCAGGTGTGGGGGTTAGTGCCGTTGGAAGTACAAGCATTTTTAATCTGTGGCTGTCTTTCCGCGTCGGGAACTCGTGTCGTGGTTTTGGGGTGGTGAGTCCGAATAGCAGCAACTTCCGAGACGTGGCTTGCTTCGACTACTTTCGGGGACGATGACGATGATGCAAAGCATGCTACTCAACAGCCGGTCGACAAATGGAAGACTGCCGTCACTTGTAGCCAGCGACCAAAGTACCTGCCACTGATTCTAGCGATATGATGGTGATTGCTACCGCCCTTATCCTTGGCGTCCTGATTTCGAAATGAGACATGGCGGCATGGTGTGGGTGGGGTACCGCTACTCCTCCTCCTCCTCCTGTCCTCCTGCTACTACTGCTGCTGCTGCTTCTGCTTCTGCTTGCTCGTCGGCTTCTGCTTCTACTTCTACTCCTGCTGCTATTCTGCTACTCCGGCTACTCCAGCTACTCCTCCTGCTCCTCCCACTACCACTGCTTGTACCACTACCACTAACAACGACTGACTACCACTACTACCGCTGCCAGCATTTTGCTTTCGTGGAAGGATCTCGATGCCCGGCTGGATCGTGCAGGGATGCCATGCTTCTCCAGGGCCTGACAGCTCAGACCGGAGGACTTGAAATCTTCCTAGGCTTCAGGTCTTGAACTTAGGCTTGTCGGGTTTTCTGGGTCTTGGGCTTCCGGCTCCAGGACGTGGGGTTGGCATGGCTGTAATGCTTGCTTGTTCTTGTGTACAACGTGCGAGGTGTAAGGCTCAACTACGGGCTGTTGCAACATCCAGCGGCGAAGCCTAAAGTTCAACTGCTTAGCCCAAACCCCCAAAGCCGAAATCACCTCCTTCTCTTAACCTCGCTCAAAGAAACTCCAGAGCCTGCTCCGCCCAGCTCCCCTAACCGAACCTGTGCCAAATGAAACAAGATGAACCACTAGCACGTGGGTAGTTCTCTAAAGTAGGGTCCCTTTTTGGGTCCCCAAAATAGTACGGCACCCGAAAAACAGGAACCCAAAAAAGAGACCCTAATTTAGAGATGTACGCCACTCCAGTCAAATATCGCTGGGATGCCCTGGAGGGCCCACCTCGGGTGTTGCCTTTCTAGCAGTCTCCGCCTCCGGCCAGGTGGTTCGGGATCACACGCTTTGGGGCTTGTTCAGGGCCTAGGGCTTTGGTTTTCAGGTTTAGGGCGACTTCCCGTGTAGCTCCTGATAATCTATTCCAAGACTCTGACACCTTACACCAGACTCCGCGGGTGGCGGCGCACCTTGGGTGAATCAACTTTCCTTGTGCGTTGTGTGAGCACCCCGCCGCTGTGACGACACCACAGACAGCCACCCAAACAGTTTCTGCTTACAGAATTCCCACCAGTCAGGCGCCGGTGCTCTTGGAGCCTCGCGGACATTGGGCTCTCCGGCCCATTGGATTTGGGTATCAGCCGAGATCGGCCGTCGTCGAGCACTCTCCAGGATCCACCCAGTGTTTGTCCCCGGTGCACGAAAAAGGCTGCCGGGCATCTTCAAGCACTCTTTAGGGTCTGGGCTTTAGGCCGGTGCGCTGGAGACGCAGAGGCCTTGGCCATCTTGGGGATGTTACTTCTATGCTGTGAGGCCTAGACCAGAACCCTGAACTCTGCCCTCAGGGATTGTTACTACCATCTCGGGAGCTGCAATGCAATTACCAAGTGCAGGAGAACTGTCTCCTACAGGTGCAAGCAGCACGAGGGACTTGAACCTGTGAAGCAATGGCTGGTAGCTGCGCCTTGAACTGCAGAACAAGGTTCTTGGGGATGCCGTGTGCTGTATGCTCCTTTAGATGTCCGCCTGAATTCAGACAAAGGAACACTGACACTTCAGTATGATTGGTTTCTTTCCGTGATGGTACTGTTGCTGATGGGTGAGTGAGGACGACGGCTCATGATGACTATGATGGCTGCAAGTATGGCCTGTGGCGACGAGAACGATCATGATCATGTCTGGCGCTGATGATGATGATGATGATGCAATTGATGTCCGGCAGTTGCGGATGGTTGATTGTGAGTCTCGTGAAGTGGCTGGACTTGCTGGAACAAAGGTGTGGGGCGTTGCATGCCTCGATGCCCGCCGAGATACATTCCAGCATGGGAAGAGACTGACGATAGATACAAGATGACGCTTTACAACCGTCCTGATTATGAAGAGCTTTTGACGATGATCACGGCTTTGCGTTAACAGCAGTGATTGCAATGGTGAGAGCTTTTCTGATGATCTTGATAGCGAAGTTCAACTGAATTTGCCTGAGAATGTCCCTGTTGGCGGTCACACTGATATTCAATTCTTGATTGAAAATACCCGGATTTTCCCTAAACCCTAACCCTACCCGGATACCCCAACAAACCTTGAGCACCAGGAGAAGGTTGTTGTGCAACGCGAAGCGGAGGAACCTTGGTGCGCATGATGAAAAACAGCTCTTCCCCCCCCGTCCCCCCGACTCGAGAGTGCTCTACAACGTTTGCTACAAAAGGCGGATGTCTTCAAACTCACCCGTTTGAGTGGGTTCACGAAGACTTTGAGCTAGTTGTGCTCGCGATGCTCCGTTTGTACGGTCGTACGGTCAGAGCTTGCGCATTTCTCCAGTGGATCAGTGCATGGCCTCAGGTTCATGGTTGCTGCTGGAACGCGCGTAAGTTTGCACCAGCTCGTAGGAGCACGAACGCCTGCTGGATCCAGTGCGGCTCATTGCAGTCACAGGACTCATCTTTGGTCGTGTCCACGATGTCCATGACCTGTCGAAGGTTTTTGACCTGCAGAGCATGAAAGCAGGGCGCACGCAGCGTTGCAGTGGAGGACTGCAACATCACCAGCATTTATCGGAGACTTGGCTCTTCGTCGTCAGCCTCACTGTCTTTTTTGCCCTCTCTAGGCTAGATAGAGCCTTGCTGTCTACGCACAACCAGCAATTGCAAATAGGCGTGCCTTCACTCCGTTCACTGACACGAGCAGCATGTTTTCCAACTCCTGCACCAAATCGAGCACGAGCAGCAGCAGCGCAACAACACAACTACGACTGCAACTACCACTACCACTACCACTTCAACTACAACTCCCCCTGCTGCTGCTACTACTGCCACAACTTCTACTTCTGCTTCTATTTCTACTTCTGCTGCTGCTGCTGCTGCTACTACTACTACTGCTGCTGCTGCTGCTACTACTACTACTACTACTACAACGACTACGACTACGACTACGACTACGACTACGACTACGACTACGACGACGACGACGACTGACTACTGACTACTACTACGTTACTGCTGCTGCTTCTATTTCTGTTTCTACCTCTGCTTCTGCTCCTGCTCCTACTTCTACTTTCACTTCTACTACGACTACGAGGACGCCTGGTGAACCGCCCAGCGTCCACATCAAACCTGACGCTCGTTGGCCTCTCAAACTGAACGAAAACCCTTGACGGTCGAACGCTTCGAACTCCGCGACATGTGAGGATTCATCCGCCTGCAACCGCCAAATGTCTACTGTGTGCAGGATTGCAGATAGACATCTAAGCAGCATCCCACCCGCTTGGCAGGCCTCATAACCGACGGTCAAGTCGTGCGCAAGGACTTGGGTCAGGACCTGGTAGGGTACAAGAGCCATGCAGCTTGTGCAGTTCATGGATCATGATCTGGGCCTTTGGGCTCACTGTTTTCCTATTGGCACGCGCTGGTCAAACTGAGGGTATAGACCTGCATGCTTCATATGCCACATCGGACCGCGGAAACTGCAAACTCTCAAAGCCAGAAGTGTGCCAATAAGGCTGAAGAGTCCGACGGCAAACTTTCATACCTTTGGGACAATCGTCGTCGTCGCAGGTCGCCATCATCGTCGTAGCAGCTTTAGTCGTCGTCGGGGCTGCCGCCGTCGAAGTATCAGCAGCCAATACTACTTGAAGTTGCTACTCAGATTTTTCGGCAGTGATGGCAGGGTGAGTTGTAGCAGTGGCAACAATTCCAGCCCTGTAGCCTTGCTTGCGTTGTTGCAGTTTTCCTAGCCGTAGGAGTGACAACACGCACGGCAATGACCGCGGCAGCGGCAGCAGTGCCAACACCAACCCAGCCACCGCACGCATGACAGCAATCATCGGGCTATGTTCATCATCTTCATCATAGCACCAAGATTGAAACCATTAGGTCATAGTTGTCAAGTCTTCATGTTGTTGACCACCTTCCGCAAAGCTTGCTTCTAAGCCCGGGGCTACCAGCTGCTCGCCCTTCTCTTCAGCACGCTGATGCATGAGGCGATGTACGATCTCCACCGGGGCCTGCAGGACGAGAGAAACCAGTCGATCCCCCCTGCTGTCAAGATCGGCTAGGCCGCCAACATAGCAGCAGTCATGGCTGTGCTGAAGTTAAGACTTAAGAGCATACAACACTTAACATGACTACAACTGCTCCTGTTGCTTTAGACATGTAATGACTATATGTCAGTTGCAAATCAAAATTATAAAAAACAGCGCTTAGTCATCGCCATTTTTGCTCCTGCTGTCTCCTGCAATTAGAATGCCACTGAATATCATCCGTCACACCGCGGGGCACGCTGGTGGAGGTTCGGGTTCTGAGGTCCTTGCTTCAGCCAGGGCATTGCTAGCAAGTCTGAGTCAGTGCGAACAAACATCCTCAACCCTGAACCTACTCTGTGAAGCTTTGCATCCCTGTCGATGTCGGGCCTCACAATCCCATTCCTCGCCAAACTCAGAGCGGAGGAAGGGGACAGACCTTGGAGTGACGAATTTGATGCACTCCTCTGCTCCTTGCACCAGTTGTGCGATCTGCACGGTCCTGTGGCTTGCTCGGGGATAGCTACTCTCGATGCTAGCACACCCCAGTTTCTCGGCCGCGGCTTGATGAATGCCTGGTGGTTCTTGAAGTCGCACTGCGTTTCAATTGCCGGTATCTTGAAATGTTCACTGTGTCGCATTGGGCTAGCTGGTGCGCTCTCAGGTGCTGGCAGGGTGGTGAAGACCAGTCCTGCCACGATGAGGTAGGACGGCCTTATCGACAGCTGCGGCAAACTAGTATGCACCGGAAATAAACATGTATGTTATAGTATATGATGCCACCGTATATTATGTTAGGTTTGGTTTGACTGGAGCAGATTACATTACAATATACAATAGAGCATAAGATACCATGCAGCATCTATAGCTATACTTAAATAATGTTTACTATACATATAGATGCATAGGTATGTACGTATGTGTGTACGTATGTGTGT